CTTAATCTAATCTAGAATAGCTTTTAAAGTAGAGTCTAGTTTATTATTATCTTTATTATAGTCTTAAATAGTAGAAGATAGTGTAGAAGATATTAAGAATGTACTAAAGAGCTTCTTTATTTTATTAGGTAACTTATGCTAGATAGGTCTCTAGAGGTAACTATTACTAGAGACTACTAGTTTTCTAAACAGTTAGTAGAGCTGTTAGTAGTAGCTAGAGGTATAGAACTCTACATTAAGTTAACGTAAATAAACGCCTATAGAATAGGTTCTCTATTCTTTTTATAGGCTTTATTAAGTGCTTATAGAACTTCTAAAAAGTAATCTATAGAGGTAAGCTTAGTCTTATTCTTATAGAAAGCGCTGTTAGATCTAGAAGTATATTCTTTGTAGTAGTACTTATAGTAGTAACCTATATTACTAAGAACCTAAGTCTCTATAAGTATCTAGCTAGCGTAAATATTTATAACTACGTAATAAGTGTAAGCGCCTATAGCAGCGTTAGTATTAGAAATAGTAACACTAGTAAGAGTGTAGGTATTACTACTAGTGTTAGAGCTCTAACTAGTGTTAGTAGTTAGGTAAAGAGTAGTATAGAGCTACTCTATATAACGTAACTTCTTAGAGAAAGCTTACTAATTATTATTATATTAGTTATTATTAAGAAGAGTCTCTATCTAGATCTTCTATACAGCAGAAAGCTTCTTAGCTAACTAAAAGAGCTTCTCTTTATTACTCTACTTTAGAGGCGTAACTCTAGCCTTAAAGTAGGTAAGGTAAGAGTTAATAAGCTCTCTAGGTTTTATACTAGCCTTATAGTTATAGAAGATCTAGGTGTTAATGCAGGTGTTTATACTACTATAGCACTTATCTAGAATATTCTATACCTACTAAAAGAAAGTCTATTTCTCTTCTAGAACAATCTATCTATTACTAATATTATTCTAGGCAAGGTTAGTAACCTTATTACAGAGATAGTCTAGTTACTTTATATTATTGTCTTTAAACGTGTATAGGTAAGCGCAGAACTATTCTATAATATCTAACTTCTACTTAGTATACGCGCTAGGCTTAGTGCTAATTAGTTCTATAAAAGTAGAAGGCTTAGGTTATTTTACGCATTAGTAGTTAGAATCGCAAGCTACTATAGTAGTAGAGAACTTAGAGGCGTTCTAGCGTGTAGAAGAAACAAAACTATAATTAGTTTAGTTAGAGTAGCTTTGTTAACAGGCTCTCTTATAGAGAGAACAAGATAGGCTATTAGGTTCTAAGTTATTAGAGTTAGAGCCTAAGTTATTAGAATTAGTAAGCTAATCTATAAGCTATCTACGTAGAACGTGCGCTTCTTTATAGGCCTTAGCGTGCTTAGTATACTTTTAGAAGTATAGCTTCTTATACTCTTTCTTATAGGTAGTAGCCTTAGTAAGCTTATAAGTAGCTTTCTAAGAGCGTTACTTATTCTACTAGTAATTACTATAGGCCTTATCTTGTAAGGTATAGAGTTATTTCTATAGGTTAATAAGGCAACTATTAGACTATTTAAGATTACTCTTAGAGATGCTTAGTTTATAGATAAGGTTGTTTACTTCTTGTTTATACTCTTAGTAAGTAGTCTTTTTATCTATAAGATTCTCTTTAAGCTTAGTAATATAGATCTAGTAAGTGCTTATATTATTATAGAGAGCGTAAATAGTGTTAAAGGCAAAGTTAAGAAGATAGATAGCTTCTTAATTAGAGTAGTTCTTAAAGACAGTTTTATTAAAGTTGCTAACGTAAGTCTCTTCTTCTAGAGAGCTATACTTATAGGTAGATAGAACGTAATAATTAGTGCCTACCTTAGGTGTTACGTAACTATTATATAGGCGCGTTATTAGGTTCTAGTTAGTAGAGGCGCCTATAGTTAGCTTAGTAGTAGAGAAAGGTAAGCAAGATAACTACTAGACACTCTAGAGAGACTTGTTAACGTTAGTATTCTTTATATAAGTAAACTAGCTAGCGTTATATATAGCGCTATTATAGCTAACATAAGCTAATAGTATAAAGAGAGATACGTAGTAGACGTTATTACTATAGAAGTAGCGTATAGTAATCTTAGAGTTAAATAAGACCTTCTTATAGTAGAGTACTATAGTGTCTCTACTATTAGAGAGTTTATTCTTAGAGAGATTAATAGAGAATTACTAAGCTTAAGGTTATAAGTTCTCTTAGTATAGAGAATTTAACGCGTTACTAGAGTTATCTACATTATTATTATTATTATTATAGAAGCTTTCTAGAATCTATAGGTTACTAGCGTTGTAGAGGTTAGTATTACTATAAGAGTAAGGTAGTAGTAGAGATAAAAGAGGTAGAAAAAAGTTACTACTAAAGGTAGTACCTAACGTCTAGGTAGGTTAAGTTATCTATATAGATAAGAGAAAAGATCTAAAGCTAGACTTAGCTTTTAAACCTAGAAAGCTGCTACTACTACTAATAGCGCGCGCTAAGAAGGCTATAGTTAGAGTAGCGTATAAGAGAACTTTAGCAACGCTACTACTGCCTATAACTAGCAGAGAGAATAGCGCACTAGCAGGCTTAGGCGTAGGCTCTAGAGTTATTTTCTAACTAGTCTTCTCGCTAACCTAGTTAGGCAGAGTTCTGCTAGAGTTCTAGAACGCTATGTTATTTAGTGTTATAGCTAATACGTTAGGCAGGATATAAGTATTATAATTATTGTTTAATTGCGCGTCTTTAATAGAGTTGCTAGAGACTAACCTAGCCTATCGCGCTAGAGTTACTAATATAATTTAAAGACTATAATAATATGTAAGAGTTATATTAAGTTTAGATAATTAAGTTAATATTAAATTATAATATTATTATAGTGTAGAGAAGAAGATCTACTCTGCAGAGTCTATATACTCTATAGAGTAGGCGTATAGGCTACCTATAAGGCTCTAAACTATAATAATTATATAATTATATAATTATATAATTACGTAATAACGCGTTACTTTATTAGATCTAATAGTAAACTTAAAAATCTCTAACATAAGCCTAGATTTATAACTTATAATACTTATACTTATACTACTACTACTACTATTACTACTAATATAATAGTTACTACGCACGTAATTATAATAAGCTAACTACTTTATATTTATTATATATTACTAATAGCTATCTAGACTATTAACTAGTACTAATACTTACTCTATATAATTATATAACACTAAAAGAATACTTAGTAAGTCTACTACTAGTATAAAGCTTAATCTAATCTAAGATATCTATATAACGCGTATATAATACTTATATAATTACTAGTAACTTATATTTTATATATAATTACTTATAAGCTAGCTATATTAGCTATATTATATAACTACTACTTACTATCTATATTTACTTTTACTTACTTATCTACCTACTTATTTTTTATTTATACTAACTACTTCTAAGCTTTTATAGCTATAGTCTAAACTTTATAATAATACTTAAGTTATTCTAAAGTACTTATAACTACTATTTTATAGCTTACTAGCTTTATTACTACTATACTTATACTTATAGCTTATTTCTTATCTCTTTAATAATTCTAAGTATTTTTAACTTCTAGAGTAAAGTTTAAAGATAGCAGTTTTTTAACTATATTTACTTTTTTACTACTATTTATACTAGTATTATTATTATATTATATATTATATTTACTTTTTTCTAATACTAAAATTTCTTCTAAGTAAAAGCTTTTTTTTTTTTCTTTTTTATAGTATAGTATATAAATAGTATATTTATTTAGAATAGCTTAATAATAAAAAGTATATCTATATAAAGATAAGTATATAGTATTTTATCTTTTAAGTTAAATTCTCTTAGTAAAATAATATTTATAAATATTACTATAATATTCTTAAAGTTATCTTTATATATTTATACTTAAAAGTATAAAATATTAGAAGTTATATTAGTATTAGTAATACTAAGTTTATAAAAAACTTAGCTTATTAGTAGTACTAAATAACTATTACTTAAGCTAAGTACTAAAGAGTTAAAAGTACTTATTTAAGTAGTAGGTATAAAAAGAAAAGCGTTTAATATCTTTAAAGTAATATTAGTATTAGTATTAAGTTTAAAAGTTATATTTAAGTATTTAGCTAAGTATTTAGCTAGAAATTTTAATTTCTTAAAGATATAAAAAGCTTTTAAAGATATAAGAAGTTTTTTAAAATAAAAAAAAAATAAAAAAAAAGTATTCTTTATATATAAAGCTTTTTATAATTCTCTCTAAGCTACTATTCTTTATACTATAGTTTACTTATATAAATATCTTTTTATATTTTATAGTAGTATAGTACTATAATTTAATATTACTTTTTAGACCTAAAATTTATCTATATAGTACTTTTACTTACTTAGCTTAATAGCTAAAAAAAAAACTATATTATACTTTACTTTAACTTTTACTTTAACTTTTACTTTAACTTTTACTTTTTTTACTAAAGTTTTTACTAAAAGCTTTTTTTTAAAAGCTTTTATATTAACTTTTAAAAATATTTTAATATTTCTATAGCTTAATAGCTTACTTATTATTACTCTTAAGTTTACTTCTAAGTATATTAAAAAAGTTTCTATTACTATTACTTTTTATAAGTATATTATTATTATTATTAAAGTACTTTATTTATAGTAAATATTAAAAAGAAAAACTTTTATTAAATTTTATAGTTATATATAGTAAGTATATAGTATTTAGAAAATATACTTATAATAAGATTACTATATAGAGTTACTAACTATATTTTATTACTTTACTCTATATTAATACTTTACTATAATAATTATTATCTAGTATATAAATTTAGATTTAATTAATAGTTAGTACTTCTATATAGTAGTATTTAATAAACTAATATCTTAAGATCTTTAGAGTCTAGGCGCCTACCTTAAATACTCTTTTAGCTACCTACCTAGGTAGCTATATTGTGTTCCCCGCGACCAGCGCTACAGACATGTTTTCCTTAAGTTTTCATCTTCTCCGCGAACCAATTAACAAGATGGCAAACAGTTGGATGACTCCACAACAGCGTGGGCGGCACCTTGACTTTCAAGGCACTCTGTAATCGATGACGCAGCGTCGCTGTTATGACGCTATCGACGCCCAAGTCCGCCATGGCAGCGCGCGGGTCCACCTCGTCAGCACTTTCCAACATTAGTACCCCAGCGACGATATCTCTAATCCTCCGTTCTAACCATGTCCTCAGGTCAACGCCGTTCGTAGGCATCTCATCTCCAGCTGCGGTGTCGTTATCGATGTCTCCGCCTGCAGCACCTAGTGAACGCGTTTTTGTTCTTATTGCGATGTCGTCCAAAATGTCCGCGGGCAGTGGCTCACCTTCAGGAAAGGGTAGAATCCGCAGCACAGCACCATGAGCTAGGTCGTACTTACCAAGATGCTCCCAAGCGCGGAATGCCTCCTCGGGCGTGATGTCGGTAATGCCCTTGCTTTGCAACTCAGCGTTAATAGACTCGGCACTCGCTGCCATGCCCAGGCCACGCCAACTAGTCCACTGGAAGGCTACGGTATCGTCTCCAAGCGCGCGCCTATACGTGGCCAAGGAGTCAAGGAAGGCATTCCCGCTGGCATAACTGCCTTGGCCTGGGAAGCCGAAGAGCTGGCCGCACGAACTAAAGAGGACAAGCCAGTCGAGCGTTCGCGGTGGAAAGGTGGTGTGCAATGCCAGCGCCCCAGCAACCTTGGGCTGTAGCACGCGCGAGAAGGCCTCGGGTGAGGCATTCTGAATGAGCTGGTCTTCGAGCGTGCCCGCCGCGTGGACTACACCCAGCACCGATGGTAGTTGTAGCCTGTCTAATTTGGTCCGCAGCACTGCCGCTGCGTCTGCTGAACCAATGTCGACCGCGAGTGTGTATACCGTTGCTCCGCAAGCCTCGAGTTCCAGAATCTTGTCGACAGCAGGCTTGAGGCTGCTGGATGAGGATGTCTCAAGCTTGTCCCAATCACACCTCGCAGGCAGTTTTCGTCGAGATACCAGCACCAATCGCCGCGCCCCCTTCTCCACGAGCCAGCCCGCTACCTCGAGCCCGAGCGAACCCAGTCCGCCCGTCACTAGATATGTTCCTGCTGGCTTAGGCATCAAAGAGGGAGGTGGAGAGGAAGAAGAAGACCGAGAGGCGGAGGTATCATACAATCTCTCACGTGACAGCGGTTGCAGACGAGCAACTCGGGGGAGACCGTCTTCCATACAAACAACGTCTTGATTATGGACGTACGTCATTGCGAGCATAGGAAAGGTCTCATCGTCGCTAAGATCCTCGACATCTATTAATGCTCCCCATTGGTCAGGGTGCTCAGATGCAATGATACGGGCGAGCCCATGGAGCGGAGCATGAGACAACGCCGTGGGTGTTTCGGCAGTTGACACTCCTGTGGTAATGGCGAAGACTTTGCTTCCGCTCTCGCTTCCGCTTCCGGATGTGGACGTGCAGCAGACGGCATGCTTGGTCAAGAGCAGCAGTTCCGAGAGAAACGTCTCGGCTTTGGATGGTACGTCAGCGAGAACAAATACGGGGCCCGGACAGTAAATGATGGCCGTATTGGGGACCAGTGCTTTAGCGACCACTTCTGCTGCCGACTGCACGCGGGTGGCAGTCACGTTTCTGGCTTTACGCTCTTTTTGCAGCTGTTCCAAGCGCCAGTCAAGTGTAGCCGGGTCTTCTGATGTGAGGATGAAGCTTTCCCATGAAGCTGCCTCGCGCGAGAATGGTGCAGGCACCCAGGCGATGGTGTGGACGAGGCTCTCGACACCACCGCTGACGCCTGGGGTGCCCTCAATCTCGGAGAAGCGCATCGATCCAAATTTGGCCAACACTCTTCCCTCTTCGTTGCACACGTTGACATGAACTGCAGGCGCTCCACGTTCGCCGGCTTCCTCTACGTAGAGATAGCATGTCTTGGGCGGCGACACTCCGTACTGTGTGAAGAACTGGACCGTCTCAATCTGTGCTGGCATCCGCAATTTTGGCTTATCAAAGAAGATGGTAGACCCCACAGATGTTGCAGCGTCGAGAAGAGGGGCCCATGAAGAGCCATGCCAGGGCAGCTTGGCGCCGTCCGCGACATCTGGCGCAACATCGACGCGAGCAAGCATTTCCTTGAGGTCGCCAAAGTGCTCTGTGACAGCCCAAGGGAATCCCATGGCTGAAACGCCGACCTTGTCCAAGTAGTCGATGGAGAAGTTGGAGGGCAGGACAGTACCAATTCGCCGCTTGATAGCTTCAACATCGATGTAAGGCATCACGCTGGTATCCAATTGAGATGCGCCCCAACGACCGACAGTATGGGTAACCCAAGATTGGTCATTAGAGGCACTGCTTTGGCGCAGCCGTGAGGTTATCTTGATGCTGTCATCCACCAATACTACCTGGACGTCTCTTACATCGCTAATGACTATTGGGACGCGCAGATCAATGTTGGACAAAGTGGAAGCCCCTGTCGCGTGATAGAAAGTGTTGATAAGCACGGCAGCGGGCATAATCTCAGTCCCATGGAGTGGGTGATTGCCTGGGAATGGCTTGGTGTCATTATCCAATCTGGTGGTGTACAAGGTCGTCTTGGTTGCAGTCCCGGAAACGGGGATCAGCTGGCCTAGCAGAGTGTGCTTGTCAACATCATGCGTGGGGCTGTCAACACCTAGCGAGCTGTCACTATGCACCTTTCTCCAGATTGGCTTGTGCACCCACTGCGTACCAGGCACTCCCGGTGCCCATCGACGGCCAAGAGACCTGTTGAAGTCGATGCTTGCGTCCTTGGTGTACAACGTGCCGATAGCTTGCGCCACACACATCTCCGGAGACTTGCGGCGGCGAACGGTTGGAATAACTGCGAACTCTTCGTCTTCAAAGCCATCATCTAGGATGGTTTCGTTGATTGAATGGGATACGATTGGATGACTGGACACCTCGAGGAACAGTCGGAATCCGTCTGAAATAGATGCCTTCACGGCGGATGTGAGTAAAACAGGGCTGATCATGTTGTGGACCCAATATTCGGCGTCTCTTAGGCTGTTTGAGCGTGGGTCAGGGTCGGATGTCGAGTAGAGAGGAACCGTTGCTGGCCGAGGCTGAATATCCGTCGCTAACATCTCCCTCACTGGTTGCGCCAGCGGACTCAGCACTCCTGCAGAATGGAATGCAATATCGGTTGCCACCCTAATCGCCTCGATGCCTCGTTTTTGGAGTTTCTCAACATACATCTCGACGGCTTTGACCCTTCCGCTGATGACGCAAGCTGAGGGCGACGAATGGATTGCTGCAATAACATCTTGCTCATTGTATAGCTCCCCCTTGACTTGGTCAAAGGGCAGATGCACAAGGAACATAGCTCCAAGACCCTTGACTTTGGCGTACTGCCCAGCTCGTCTAGTGACAACCAAGGTACCTTCTTCTGGAGTAAGGCAGCCTGCTGTCACCGAGGCGGCAATCTCCCCCACTGAATGTCCAATGATGGCACCAGGACTGACTCCTTCAGATCTAAGCAAAGCAACAAGTCCAATTTGGAAGACATATGTCAAGATTTGCACCCGATCGGACTCGTCGTAGTCGCTGCCACTCTTCCCGAACGCCTCGATAGGGGAGAACCCAGCCTCTGCTTGCACGATGCGGTCTAAGGGCTCAACAGCGCCGTGGAAGACGGGATTGGCAACCAGCTGCCTCGCCATTTCGTTCCACTGTGCGCCATGACCTGAGAAAACCCAAACAACATCTTTCTTTGTGTTCGTCGCGAGCGCGTTGCCCTGAGAACTCCACTCGCCGTTGTTACCACCTTCGGCAAATACTTTGAGCATTTCCGCTGCCTGCTCTACACTGGTAACAGCAAATGCTGCTCGGTACTCATGATGAGCGCGGCGGAGAGCAAGGGTGTTTGCAATTGACCTCAAATCTTCTCTCTTCCCTGGACCCATCAACCACCTCGCCAGCGAGTCCGCCTGTCCAGCAAGTCGTTTTCGTTGTGGGGCCGAGATCGCAAGCGTGACTGGGGCGTGAGCGCATCCGCTGTTCTGTTGGTTCATCGTAGCAAGGCGAAACGAAGACTGCTCGATGATAGCGTGAGCAACGGTGCCCCCATATCCATATGAACATATAGCCGCCCGACGTGGATGCGCCTCCACGTCCAGCCAGTCGGAAACCTCTTGCACTACTTCTGTACCCGAATTCTTCCAGTCGACCTTAGAGTTGAGCTTGGTGAGGTTGGCCTGCGGCGGAAATTGCGCCTTGTTCAGGGCCAGAACAGCCTTGATAAACCCTATTGCTCCCGCACCTGCTTCGAGGTGGCCGACATTTGGCTTCACTGATCCTACGTTCACCGGCTTCGATCTGGATACACCGTAAACCGCCGATATTGCGCTGACCTCGGTCGGATCCCCCAAAGGCGTCGATGTCGCATGAGCCTCAACGTACTCTACAGTCGCAGGGTTGACGTTTGCTTGTTTAAGGGCTTGTCGGGCAACAAGTTCCTGTGCTTTCGCGTTCGGGGCCATAATACCGTTCGTCTTGCCGTCCTGAGCGATTGCAGAACCCTTGAGGATAGCAATGACGTTATCTCCATCTCTTATCGCATCCCGAAAGCGCTTCAACACTACGATTGCGGCACCTTCCCCCCTTCCATAACCATGTGCATTGTCATCGAACGACAGACACGAGCCATCGGGCGATATAGCACCAGCTTTATCTAATACCCGCGTCAACCCAGGCCCGCAGATCGCATTTACCCCACCAGTAATAGCTATTTTCGACTCGCCCAACAGGATTGCCTGGCGTCCATGGTGAATCGCAACTAGTGAACTTGCGCATGCCGCATCAACTGCCGTGCTCGGGCCCATGAGGTTCAAGTGGTACGATACTCGATTCGGTATGCCGCAGTACGCGGTTCCGATACCTGTCCGGGAGATTAGAACGGGAACATCCAGACCACACATTGTGTAAGTAAACCAACAGTCTTAACAGAACTTACCCAACCAGGGCTCGATATTAGGCAGATCCTCCAACAGCAACTTCCCATAATCATCAGAGTTCACACCCATAAATACGGCAGTGTCAGATCCGGAGAGGCTCTTAGGATCTATGCCTGCAGATTCCAGTGCCTCCCACGCTACTTCGAGAGAGATACGCTGCTGCGGGTCCATCTGCTCAGCCTCCTTAGGCGAAATCCCAAAGAAGCTCGGGTCGAAGTCCTCCAGGGCATCCAGATAGTATCCACGGGATGTTGTGTTATCGAGCGCTTTGATGTTGCGGACGTCACGGTGGCGGTAGGGCTCCCATCGCATAGCTGGGATCTCGGACGAAGCGTCTCGTTTCGCCAGGATAGACTCCCATAGCTGTTCGGGGCTGTGGTTTCCACCGGCCACACGGCAGGCCATGCCAATGACGGCTACGTCGTTACATTCGCCCTTGGACATGTCAATTTGCGATTCTTCATTTGTAAGTTTTAGCACTCACAAGTTCGCCGAGCTCTGCTTCCGTTACTGAGCTATGTACCTGCACTGGGCTAAACGAACTAGACGAGTATTGGTTTGAGTCGGGGGTTTCCATCGTAGCGTAGTCCCGATGTTCGATAAGAGTTTCCGACGAAGAATAGCAGACTTGTCAACAGCTGATTTGAACCCTCCCTCTCAAATTGGAAGAGAAGGCCTAGACGAAGTAAATGATCCAAGTAGGGTACTGATGTGTCATGCGATCTTGAATGTTGACGAGTCGATGGCGTTGCGTGTTTATTCGAACCAAAATCCTCAGAGTGAATTATTGATTGAACAATTTGAAGGATAGTGACGTATGTGAGCTCTCAGTAGATCATATGGTTATCTTGTTCGAAGTCGAACTTAACAGTGGACGATGATAATACCTATTGACGACAATAGTCGCTCGCGGACTTCCCAGACAACGGGCATTTCGGCATTCAAAGTTATCCGGGGCATTCGGGACGGGCCTCGGGAGATTCTCCCGACAACGAGAGTTTCAGTATTTAAACCTTTCCGGGTCATTTCACGAGGAGCTTTCTTCCATAATCACAGCGCCGGATAGAAGTATACTATAGCTATTTCGAGTTTATTCGTCAGAAACCGAAACGGGCAAATAAGGGATCTCGATAGACCCAGCTCTTGGCTCAGTCAGAAATCTTCTATATGGGTAACGTGGGGAGCATAATCCGCATGTATTAAATGTCTTTAGTGGTGTTTCTCTTCTTGAAGATGCAATCGAAGTAGAAGTGTCGCAGCATCGAAGGCGCGAAGGATCCAGATGCCTGCTTTCTTGGCTGTACGCCGCACTCCAAACCTTCCCCACAATCCAACGATCGAATAACATTGCAGAGAAACCACTCCAGGCCCCCGGGATCTCTAAGAAGAAAATTACGGGTGTTGGCATGCGGGATTGTCGCGGGGAATCAGGATCGTGGAGTTACCTGCCTGTTCTAGTGCGCGATCAATCGGAGATTAAAGTCTTTGGCCTGACACAATTTGGCGGACAAATGCTACGCATTGCGTTTGCCCTCATGCTCTCGACTTCACGGCATCCCGAGTTTGCGCCTCGGTATTCTTCCAACAAGTCATTCGGATCTTCGCGCGCAATCTCAGATGTCTCCATGTTGTCGTTCACTTTGGGTCAAGCATCGCTAATCGCAATTCCATACATGCAAGGGGCTTGCCGATTCGGACGATGATCAGGTTGCCGGTAGCCACAATGAGGCATCCCTAGGTACACATTCGGCCCGGTGAGGGATGTCTTCGGCCACGTCAGGGATCTATTCTGCCTGGCGATGCGATCCGAGCGAATAGTTCCGCGACAAGGCCGAATGGTACGCACGCCCCTAAACGATGCGATAGACTTTCTTAGACCCCCCAGGTCATGCCTGGTAACGATTCATTCCGCCGCACTCCTTTGCGTAATACACTCGTTAACTTTGTTTTCTGTCATTCATTATTACCATGCATCTTCAAAAGCACTCGCTTCTTAGCGTACTTCTGACTGCCTCGCTCGGCCTTCCACATGCCCATGCTGCCCCGATACTGGACTCACTTGTCAACCCTTTTCTGGACTCATTAGGTTCAATCCTGAGCGGCAAAGGGCTTGTGCAAGGTTTACTTGGTTCCATCGAAGGTGCTATTGGCGTGGAGAAGACGTACGACTACGTTGTCGTGGGCGGTGGCACCGCCGGCAATGCGATCGGTGTGCGCCTCGCTGAAGCGGGCTACTCGGTCGCCATCATTGAGGCTGGACTTTACTACCAAATCGGAAAGCCTGTTTTAGGCTCCACACCTGCCGGTGGCATCGTGGGAATCGGTGCCAATCCACTGGACTCTGATCCTATTGTTGATTGGGTGTTGACCACGGAGCCTCAAGCGGGCGCGGATAATAGACGCGTGCACTATGCGCAGGGAAAATGCTTGGGTGGCTCGTAAGAACAACCTATAACACAACACCTATCACAGTACTAACGCGATGTTTCATGCAGTTCTGCGCTCAACTTCCTAATTCACCACAGGTAAGAAGAGCCGTCTCTGCATCCGATTGCCGTGTACTAATCCTCTTCCAGAGGTACTGAGGGCTCATACCAAACCTGGGCCGACGCTGTGGGCGACGACAGTTACACGTTTGCCAATTTTGAACCCTACTTCAAGAAGGCCGTCACTTTCACTAAGCCGAATGACGCCATACGTGGCGACAATGTGACTACACAGTACGATGAGAGCGCCTTCGAGACACCGGGAGGACCTATCCAGATCGGTTACTCCAACTATGTCTCCCCATTCTCGACCTGGATGGAGAAGGCTCTTCATGCAGTCGGCTTGAAAAGGACCAGTGAATTCGATAGCGGCAAACTCATGGGAACACACTACACCCAAACCTTCATCGACGCGAAGGAACAAACCCGCAGTGCATCGGACGAATACATCAAAACAGCGCTCGACAACGACAAGCTCGCCGTGTACGCAAACACCCAGGCACAGAAGATCCTCTTTGATGGCAACAAGACCGCGACCGGCGTAAGGGTTCAGTCCACGGCCATTACCTACGACATCCATGCTTCCAAGGAGGTCATCGTTTCTGCAGGTGCCTTCCACAGCCCCCAGTTGCTCATGGTATCGGGTGTAGGTCCAAAAGAGACTTTGGAAAATTTCAACATCGATGTGGTTGCCGATCGCCCGGGCGTAGGCCAGAACATGTGGGATCACATTATGTTCGGACCAGCTTACGAAGTCAGCTTCAACACGCTGGACAACACCCTCCACAACCCCGTCGCACTTGCCGATGCTCTGGCCGACTACACCCTCAAAGGCGAAGGCGTGCTTTCATCAAACGTCGTCGAGTTCCTCGGCTGGGAGAAACTGCCTCAAGAATTCCGCCAGAACTTCTCTCAATCCACCGTCGATGCCTTGAACCAATTCACCGATGACTGGCCAGAAGCTGAGGTAAGTCCCTAGTTGTTGATGATAACGATGAAGGACACACACTAATCACAAATTCGAACAGCTTATCAGCGGAAACGGCTACATCGGCGACTTCTCCCTCCCTGTCCTTCAACAACCCCTAGATGGCAAGCAGTACGCCACGATCCTCGGAGGCATCGTAGCACCCACGTCCCGCGGCAACGTTACCCTGCAATCGGCATCCATGAGCAGCTCGCCTCTGATCAACCCCAACTGGCTCACCTCTCCTGCGGACCAAGAACTCGCTGTCGCGCTCTACCGTCGCATGCGCCAGATCTGGAACTCGGAAACCATGCAGCAAGTTGTAATTGGTGACGAATACTGGCCAGGCAAGGAGAAGGACAGCGACGAGGAGATCTTGGCTGTAGTGAGAGACAGTTTGATGACTATCTGGCATGCGTCTTGCACGTGTAAGATGGGAAAGAAGGATGATAGCATGGCGGTGGTGGACACCGAAGCTAAGGTCTATGGAGTCAAGGGTTTGAGGGTTGTAGATGCGAGTGCATTGCCTATCCTGCCGCCGGGTCATCCCACCAGTACGATTTGTAAGTTTCCCATGCGAGCCCAAGTGTGGTGTGGACGTCTGCTAACATTCGCGTAGATGCGCTCGCGGAGAAGATTGCCGCTGGTATTGTGGAGGCCAATCGGCGATAAGAGCCACGCGACAGTGAGAGATTTGTCGTGAAATGAAGCGGAAGAGAAATAGATTGAAGACCTTTTACTACGCGTTGGAAAATGACCTGAGGTTGGAGCCTCGGGTAGGATGTCGACTTTGAGAGCGCGTGTTGTTACATTCTGTTCCCTTTCTTAATGTGTATATTTAATGTAGCGAAGCAATCCATGAGTCAACCGTGCGACAGCTTAACTCACAATGAAGAGTGCATGAATGGAACCAAAATAGCGAAAAGTGAAACCCAAAAGCATATCAGATGTTCTTGTCGCAAACTCGTATTGTACTCATGTACTCGGCCTGAGGACGTCGGACCCCAAAAGCAGGAAGCGATTCACGTAGCAAAAGATTGAAACAAGACGAAACAATCGAGACATAGGTCCTTGCCCTTCTCAATGCATCTCTACACAGCGAGCTTGATCGTCTTGCCCACACTTGGCGTGCCGTTGGCGTCGATTGCGAACAAAAGCCAGTATCCAGGCAACGCAACCCCTGGGTCGCCCGGGATAGCCACCGTATAGCTCGTACCGCTACCCGACATTGTTAATGCGATCCTTCTTTGATCGGTGTTGACGGTATGAGTGGCGGTGCCAAACCTCACCAGCGAGAACTTGGTAACAGCCGCAGTCGTGGTGATGCTCAAGTTCGCGCCGAGTCTGGCAGTAGAGGCTACAGTGCTTATGACAGGACGTGCGCGTCTTGTACCGTCAGCGTTCAGAAGGTAGGGCGGTACGAAGATCTCGGCGTCGAAGTGATTGTTGGCACCGCAAGAACCGCACAAGCCGCCACCGCCGACGAAGACTGTAGCATCCGGCATAAGGATTGCTACGGAGTGATATGTCCTGGGAATTTGCATGGGGTTCAGCTGTGTCCATCTTCCAGTAGTGGGGTCCCACAGCTCCGGAGTCAGCTGCGCCGTATCGTCGTTGAACGGGTGCAGACGCGATTGTCCACCAGCAACGAAAACTGTTCCGTCGGGAAGCGCGACACCATTCGCGAAACCACGCGGATAGGCCATAGACTGGGTTTTGGCGACGGTTGGGTTTGTCTTTGGTGCGCCTATCGTGACGACATAGGCACTTGTGCGTCCGTCACTAAAAGACAACGAAGTCAGCGTTGCTGCGTGAGTGATGCGAAAGGCGGTTCATACCTGTTTTCGTAGTTTGCAGCACCTCCTGCAGTGAGTATCTTTCCGGCTGTGGCGTCGAACATTACCGCATTGCCACACATGGCATCCCCGTCATCCAAGCGGTTACCAGCACCCGTGGTACTTCCAGATCCGCTAGTATCGTACCAGTTCATGGCGATCGAAGGACCAGCTTGGAAGACCGTCTGGTTCTTCCATCTGTATTCGGTCAGCAACAAGTTAGAGATGATGATTGGGCGCTGGACTTACCCAAAGAGCCAAGCATGGTTATCCGAACGATATACGCCCGCAGTATCAGCTGTAAGCATAGGGCTGACGAGCGCATTCTGTACCAGAGCCCAAGTATTTGCAGTAGCGCTATAGATCTCTCCGTTCTTGCCACCCCTGTTGCCGCTCCATGATCCGCCGATATTGAAGATGCGCCCGTCGGAGCAAGTAGCGGTGGATTGGTACCCCCGAGCGATCCGCATGTCGCTTCCTGGGGTCCAAGCGTCACTAGAAGGGTCATAGATGCTGGTCTTTGCAGCGTCGCTGCCCCCCGAGACGATAACACGGCCGTTGAAGTCCAGGGAGATACCTGGGCAGAACATGTCGTGCTGTGTATTGGAGACCTGAAGCTGACTCGACTCGCCCGTAGCAGGATCATAAATGCCTGTTTGGGTGAAGCCTCTGGATCCGCCGAAGTTGTCCTTCGCGAAGGCCGACCACATCAGAACTTTTCCGTTCGGGAGCAATGAGACAGCTGCTGGTACAAGCGGGAAATCCACGGTCTTCTCCCACAAGCCTTTGCCTGCCGCTGGCGGAGCGTACGCTGTATCCTGGAAGATGTTGATCTCAGCGACGGTGGTCCATTGGTTGACGGCGCTTTGAGCTTCTGAGGTAGCTGTGATCCTAACGTATCGTGCCGGTTTCGCGACGAAGGAAGTCTTCTTGGTCGTCGCATCGTTGTTGTATGTGCCGACAGCGACGACCTTCCAGCTCGAGTTGTCGGTACTAATCTCGATTCTGTGTCCTCCAATCCTGCCATTGGCGTTGTCGCTTGGGCGTGGCTGGAGACTGACGGCGTTGATGTTATAGGATGCTTTCATGTCCACGATGATCCAGTTTGGTAGAGTGTCGGCCGGCGCGGGATCATATTTTGAGTGCCAGAACGATGTCGCATTTCCATCGAGCGCTTTAGAAGGCTCATTACCAGCTTGGAAACTGTCCGACGTTGCGGTCCATCCTGAACGGCTGATAGTGACAGAGGCAGAGTCGACGGAACCCGCTAGGATGAGTACGGCGATATAAATCGCTGATAGACTGGACCTGAAGCTCATGTCGAAGATTGAGAAGTGGAGGCAGCGGCTTTGTTGCTGATATGAGTCTCAATGCAAGGAAAGCTTCAAACTTATAGTTCTTTGATAAGGTTTTGGCGGCATGTCAGCTTACACGACGCTGACCTCTGTTCCCATCGCCTCTCGACCATGATCATTCATCTCACACTCGCAAACGCCATGATGCCCGTCTAGCTTAGCTTACAATAGCACTGTCCAAGGTTGATGCGGAAGTCCAGCTCCGCGCACGCCCAAGAATAGACATGTGGAAGATATCGCCAATTTACGAGGCTGACGGACTTGACGCATCGCGCACACAGACTGATCTTCGCGTAGATAGTACCATTCATTGCTTGCACCTCAAGACGCTACCTCAGTGATGGGCTCGGATTTGCCCGCTCAAGACCGGTAGTCCGTGTTGGCTGCATGATATATTAGGCTGCATACTAGATGCGTGCTCAGAAGCCTGGAAAGGAACGCCACAGGATGTCACCGGGTACTCGGACATCGTATTGATCATGTGGATGATGATATCGCGAATTGTTACTGCCATGGGAAGAAGCAGGCGCAATGCCCAATATTTGCTGCATGCAGGACCATCTTGGCTAAGCGTTGATGGTGGGGCGGGATTCGGCTCGAATCGCTGACCGGGAACATGCATGAACGCCTCCAATGAACATCTGGACCACTGCGCCCGTGCGCTAGTCGGGCATGGCGTACCCTCGCCTCGCCGGCTCAAATACTGAGGCTGTAGCCGTCCAGTCCGTCTGGTCCATTGAGAATCCATCGAGGTGGCTTTGCATGTAGTCTCTCTGCGTCCGTTTCTGTGGATTGATAAGGGCATGCAAGCAGGCTGCCAGATCAAGTGACTGTTGATCGAGAAGGCTTCGCTTGTAGTCTCTATTCGTCCGACTCTTCGTCCGATTCTTCGTCGTAGTCTCCACTATCAGTTGTTTCCAGTTCGCTGTCGGTCGATTCTACCTGAGGTCCAGAATGCGCTAATAACATCGCTGACATATCGCTGTCGGTCTCCTCCTCGTTCATGTCTAATTGCTCGTAGCGCAAGTCTTTCAAATTGTACCAGTTTCCTTGGGTCTGACAGAAGACATACGTCTCAATTAGGAGATCAAACGACAGCACCACCCAGATCGGCTCTACGTCCTTCGTGAAGGACGATGCAGATGAGCCAACTTCGTCGCGACACGTCAATGTGATCTTCCACAAAGCCGAGGGCAGCTTGGCTTGAAAGCCTAAAGCCGGATCGTCTTGATATCCTGGGGGCTGGAAGCGCTCTACCTGTACCCAGTCTTCTATGTCTGATTGAGGGTACAAGATTTCCAACGTCTCGAGCTTTGGTGGCAAATCTCTCGGCTGGCAGCAGTGTTCCAGCCAACGATCCGTCTCCTCGTTGAAAAAGAACAACTGTGGAATGGTGAGATGCTTGAGGTTGGTGAAGTGTTTAAATGATCTCTTTTGGTTCGTCAACAATCCCAGCAGCCATTCTAAATCGGAGTCGTCATCAGTAATTTCATGCGTGATGGCAAGCCTTTCTAGACTGTCTCGCATGCTATCAAGTTGATCTATGAGATAGCTAGCATCAAGCTGGGTATCTCGGTCGTCTGTGAGATGATAGCTGTCGTTGATACTGCGCGGGCGAATGTTAGCAGAGGCAACGTATATGATGCACTAACAAACTCACAGCTGCATTTTGAGACTTCGTAGCCGGCTGCAGTCGAGAGCTTCGAAAAGGTCACTGAGTTGGATTTCCGCCTTTTCAACGAGGGGACGATCTGCAAATTGTATCGAGACACTCAAGGCTAGATCATCAAGGTTCTCGGCGCCCTGTAGACACCCAGGACCGTTGAGACGCAGGATGGTACCAATGGAAATCGTTTTTAGATCGAGGCTTTTAAGATTCTCATAGTGAATGCCGGACTTCAGCAAGTGTGTGTCGCTCGTAGTCAAATGTCGAAGCGTGCTCCAACCATGAATAATGCTAGCAGGGGCGAACATTCCCCCGAAAAGCCCGGAGATGCACTCGCCTGAAGGTGGACCGCGAGCATGATCTTTTACCCAGACATCAAGGTGTGTGAGATTGGGAAGCAGTACGAGCAGCAGTCCAGCAAATCCCGACTCTATCGAGTTTCGAATTGTCCGATGCCAAGGATGCGACGCAGGATACCCCATCTGTTCCAGCTTTGCCAAGCTTCGCACGCGTAAAGACGCGAGGTCGAAGTCCTGCACCTCGCAAAGCTTCGCGACATTCTTGCGAATTGTCCCAACGCGTAGGGTTCTGATTTTTGCCGCAAGGTCTGCGCGGTCCAGGAGAGTACGCAGCAGCTGCAGAAGGGAGCTCACCTTGGGGTGACTCCCACATGACATGGACAGTTTTACTGTGGTGTAAAGGGCATCTTGGGCGACAGAGCGAAATCTGCGGGACGTGAGACTCAGGTCCTTGAGGGTCGTGGGTGCAGCTGCGTCGGGAAGATAAGAGGCGACGTGCAGCAGTAACTCTTCCGGCAGCTGGTAGATAGGCGGGTCATCGTGAGGCGTCATAATGGACCTCATGCTCAGAGTATTGGGCGGTAGCATAGCAGACTAAGGGATGTTGATGCTCTGCTTACTCTGTAGTGGATTGCGCGGTTTTCGATTTCGCGAATAAGCTCGCTCTCGGTTGACTGTACCAAAGACCCTGACGGTATCATCCGGTGCGTATCATCCGCCACTCGACGTTGAATTCCCTGGATTCCTCAGGACGGTGCTGTCGGGTAAATACAATGATCAAAGTACTGTCGTAACTTGATGCTGAAGTGTGGCGCTGACGTGCCAGATGGGTGACCGCGATGAACAAGCCCTGGTGAAATTGCGATCGCGGGATGGTGCGACACGATGACGTAATCAATTAGAGATGGCAGGCACACGCACAAAGCTGCGGAACTGCACGCGAAAGAAAGTTAACAACGCTTAATCTAAATTGAACACTACATACGACTCGAAACTCAGACTTTCTTCTGCGCCCTCTTCTCTCTCAACCACATCTTGAGCAGGAACAGCAAGCTCGTCACCACACCCATGCCGCTCAGTCCGACGCTAACGTACATGGCGCCACGATAACCGTGCAGTTCATCCTCCGCCGTTCTTCCGCCATTGTTCACGTGCACCTCCACTGTCCCTGCGATGCCAACCCCGATACTGATACTGTAGTTCACGATCGTATTGACCAAACTCGCTGCCATGCCTTGGTGCTTCTTAGCGACGGCATTACTCATGATCAGCGTGCCGGCGGGAAAACTCATGTCCATGCCCCATGGGATGATGAGCGTGGTAACAAAAGTCTGCGCCCAGTAGATCTGGTTGATGGGGAGTGTAGCGACGAGAATGTTGCCTGTCAAAAACGCTAGCATGCTGATGAGCATGACCCAACCTGGGCCGATGCGCGAGATGACACGGCCAGTGGTGACCGCAGCGATGAAGCCGGAGATCACGACAGGGCAAAGATGAGCCATTGTGAGGAGCGGGGACTCGTCACGCAGCTGCTGGAGCATTTGGATGAAGTAATAAACCCAGATACCTACAACTGACATTAGTCGTCCGCTCAAACAAAGGTATTCAGAAAGCAACTTACCGAAAGCAGCCCAGCCACATGCTATGCAAGTCAACACGAACGAGACATCCGTGCTGAGCGCATCAAATGGGATGAGAGGCTTCTTGGCGACTTTGATCTCGATCCAAAAGAAGAGCGGAAAGAGCAGAAGGCCAATTATTAGCAAAACGTAGATGTAGGGGTGTCCCCATCCAAAACCAGGCGCTTGATTCCAGGCAAAGTTGAACAGGATCATGGCGGTAATGCCAACACTTGCGCCGAGTAGGTCAAGCTCACAAACTCGTTCCCTGTGCGAGAGATTGCGAACTTCCGGATCGAGCGGTACCGAGGGAAGGATGAAGATCGACAGAATGGCAAGGCAGAATAGCGCAATGCCGAACGACCAGAATGCCCACGGCCACCACAAGAGCGCCCAGAGACCAGCGAACGCGCCGCCAGCTATACCACCACCTATATGACGTTAGGCAATATCCATAGGACAATGGACAAATACATACCGGGTGCGCATGCTCCAAACAGCGAGAACACCATATCCTTCCTCTTTCCCTCGTTGTACGTCGCGCCTAGTAGACCAAGCGCATTGGGCAGTAATATCGCCGGTCCTATACCACCCAGTACGCGCGAGAAGATAAACAGCACCTGACCACCATTTCCTTCAATGTATACGCTGCATCCGGCTACTATCATCCAGACCCCAAACCAGATATAGCCAATGATCAACATGTTCTTGTATCCGAAGAGATCTCCACAACGGCCAGATAACAGGATGAAGGTACCGACGGTCAACGAATAACCCGCTATTAGCCAGGACAGAACGCCGGGGTCGGTGATGCCAAGATCGAATCCGATGATGTGCAGGATGTTGAGAGTGCCGAGCAGACCTGCTTGCGTAACGAATTGAGCAGAGCAGAGCAGGCCAACAAAGAAAGCCTCGCGGAGTGGTGACATGGTCTCTGCGATTGACTTCGTCTTTGCGAGTTCCAGGTCCTGTTGCTGCTTGGTTCCATGCGCAGAATGGGCAGAGTTGCGGCGGTCCATGTCTTCGTGGGAGTCGCTGTCGTCAAAGTCCTGGTCGGAGGTAGACGAGAGCTTCTCGCCTGTTGGCTCTAAAGAGCCTCTTGGTTCCTCCATTTCGAGATGGTTCGACGGCGTGACCGAGGAAAGCGCCTGCTGGAGTGTGTCTTCTTGAGACTACCGTTAAACACTCTTCTATCGCGAAAGACCGTAAAGGTTGATTTGCGCTGAATGGACTTCACTTTCTGCGCCTGTATCGTTTTCGTTGTACGTTCCGAAATGGTACCGCGATGACGACAGTGCTCGTCGATTCTCAACGACGCGTCTCGAGGCGTAGGCAGGGAATGTCTGCGTGGAAATGCCAGATGCGATTCGAAAAGCGTGTAGAAGTGTGTTCGCAAAAGTGAGCACAGCGCGATGCGCGTTCTAGTTTGGCGCCCATCGCTCCTGACATTTTTCTGAGCAATCTTCAACGTTCTTTACGTGAGCGCGGAATTGCGTCTGTCAAGCAAAGAAAAGCGGGTCCGCCGAACTTCGACCGCTGTCCAAGTCAGGATCTGATAACGCGCAAAGACGTTTTTCTTCGGAAAAAAGCGGGCTTCGATTCAGCAGCCGAAGATCTAGATTCGGGCAGCGGATTTATGAACGCTTGTGATGCTAAGTAAGCCACGTGCTAAGCATGTGTAACAAGATTGCGGAAAACGGCCGTTTGGAACTTGTGCAAATGCCGCTAAAACATTCATCCGCAGGCGTAAAAGCACAATCTCAACGACCAGTCCGAACCAGGACCAGGCCGTTGTATGAGTCAAAGGCGCACTCTATCCATTCTACCCAAATGCGCAGGTTTGGGCGTACGATGTCCATGCACGATCATGCGACTATCTACCGTCCCTTGTCCTCATAAACCCTAACCCCAAGAACCTTCCAAACAGCCCAACTATGCCCCCCAACCCATATCGGCCCACCCCTCCAAAGCGGCAAAACATCCTCCCTCCCCCTCCTCCTCTTAACAACAGGCCCCTCCCACTCCCCCTGTTGAAACCGCTCAACATCATCCCTCCTAACAGTATGCGTCCTTGCACTCGCCGCCATCGTCCAAAACCCCACCACATGCCCCTGATCGATCTTGTGTTTCAACCAGCCCTTGCCTTTATTCTCCTCGGCGCTGTTATTCAGAAGAGATAGAAGCTCAGTGCACGTATAGTCGGCTTTTCCCTTTGGTAGAGTGACGGAGCTCAATTGTGTGCGATGCGCTGACGCTGGGATCTTATCGACGATGATGGGGGACCACAGGAAGGGGAAGGGCGCGTACATGAGCCGGAGAGATAGGCTCAGGAGGACTGCGACGGGGAAGTCTAGGCCGATTGATACGCCTGCGCGGAGGGCTGATCCGAAGGTAAGCCGGGGTGGAGATGTGGGCGTTGAGAAGAAGAGGAGATGTCTCTGGAACGCGGAGTACATGGGACGAGACATGGTCATGGTTTCACGTCTGCTTGGAGAGCTTGCGACGCGTCGAGGTCGTTGAGAATGTGCATATCTGCGAGACAAAAGTACGGTTTCGCGTGTAAAGTCATGACGTCACGCGCATCCAATGCACCAGTGCATAATGTGATGATGTGGAACAGGTCAGTATCTATGTATTTCTTGCCTAGAGCACATACAAGCACTACAATACCATAGTTATCGTGTGAGCATAATTGCGATCCTCATATCGTCGCGACTATCTTGCCATTGATTAAAGCATCACCAAACTTCCTACAACCGCAGCAATCATTGCACTGCCCAAAACGCTCGCAGAGAGACCACCGGATGCAGCCGCGGTGTAAGTAGGCATGGGCATGCCAGTGCCAAAAGGTGTACTGCCGTTGCTCGATGTGCCGTTACCAGCTAGATCTGGGAACAGGTAGCTAGTGTTGGCATCGACAACGATCCAGTTTCGCACCAGGGCCGTTCCATTCATGACCGACTCCCATTGCTCCGATGTGCATTGGCCGGGATCAAGAACGTAACATTGCGTGCCTTCGTCGACAATGGGTTCGTTGGTGATGTTGTACACGTCATTTGGTCCTTCGCTGGCGTAGTCGGGGGTCTCGGTCGTAGAGATGTTGCCGGTGCTGATGTCGCGGTTGAAGAGAGCGCGTGTGAAGATCTTGTACGCGGTTTCAGGCTGGTAGGCCGGTACCTCGTGGCCAGCTTCGTACACCCGTGTAAAGGATAGGTTGCCGTATTGACGCACTTGGCCACCAATGTAGGTATCGTTCACGACAACAGGCGCGTATCCGGCATCCGCAAATGAAGTGGCGTTGTCGTAGGGAATAGCAAGCGAGAGCAGTTCACCACCGTACCCTAAACGTTGCATAATGTCAGTTCGTATTTAAACGCAGCCTTCGTGGGGTAGTACTGACAATTGCAGGCATAGTCTCTGTCACCGTACACCAGTGTGACCTTGATTCCCTCTTCGAGAAGATATGCTAGATCTTCCTTCCAACCTGGACGTGGATAGTCGCCAATACCTCGGAATGCCCGCGACACGGCCGAATTAGACTGAGTCCAGTTGAGGGGCACACCAAGTCCTTGCTGCACATGCGGCTGGTTAAGCCAGCCTTGATACCATGGTGGCGGGAAGGCAGCTGCGCCGGGGGCGGAGATGTCGTAGTAGTTGAGGTCGGTGTCAAAGTAAGGATCACGGATCGTCTCAGAACAGAATGTCTCCGCAGCCTCACATACTTCATTGACGGTCTCGTTGTAGCCTTGGTTAGTAGGGTCGTATATAAGGCTGATGTTGCGACATTCTTCAATCTGATCCAGACAGCCGCCTTCCTTGTATAGGTTGTCGAGCACTTCCTCATAGCGCGACTCGTTCACAGCCTTGATACCGTACGTGTTGTTGTACTGCATCCTTGGGTAAGCCGGCCATTGGACGTAACGATCAATGCAGCCATTAATGATA